TCAGGTACAGCTGGTGTTGTTACTGATAAGGAAGGTGACAATATTGCAGTGCTGATGGGAGTATTGCTACTAGTGGCACTATTTATTATACTAACAATGTTTATTGTTATGATAATACTTGTTGTGTGAGTTATTAATGCATTTTTTGATAGTACTTATTTTGGCAGAAAGCTTGAGCTTGTTCCAATCAAAATTGGATTTTTTACGATTTTTAAAAGTTACTCCAATATTGGATAAAGTCCCTGTACTATAGTAGGCCAAATTTTGTCAAAAATGACTAGGAGAGAATTCCTCATTTTTATTACATTTTCTGATACATGTACATGTACTTATGTTACATAGGAGGTTTTAGCTCGTTCCAATTAAAATGAGGTTTTACTATTATTATTTTATTTATTTTTAGTAAATATATAATTCGTCCCAGACCTAGTTCTGGTGTTTACAGTAGAGTTCCAGCTGATGAAGGACACGTCCAGTATAGGAATGGAGCTGAGAGTCCTACTGGTTTGTTCTTATTGTTTATTGTTGTTGTTTATTGTTGTTTTTTGTTGTAGATGATGATGACGAAAGGCCCCTCCCTTTATAAATTAACCCAGTGAGTACATTGACAGTTATTAATAGTTATTGACAGTCATGCTATTTTTGTCATGTCTTTATTTTCTCTGCTATACATCACATTAGTGCTGTGTTTATTATTATTATTATTATTATTATTATTGCTGTGATACATGAACTATAATTATTGTCTGTTATTTTATTCCATTTTAAAGATTATTATTATTGTTGTATTAATTAATTGTTTCTAAAGATGATGAACTGCTTCTCTCTACATTAATTAATCTTTCTAGCGCTTTCACGTTAATTATAAACGAGCCATCCCTCTTTGAATTGTTTCCTTCCACTTCATCACAATCTCCATTAATAATGTTATCTCCATTGATGACTGGAGCTTCACTGATATTGGCACCACTGCAGTCCAGACTGTAGTCACTTTCCATATTATAAATTGAATAGAATCCTTTCCTTTCAGCATCATCATTACACTCTATAACTTCATCATTGATGCATCTTTCCTTATTCTCAAATCCATTGCAAGATTGATAGTATTCATCAGACACTAAAAGTTGTAGAGTGTTTTTTGGTTGCCATGGTGACATTGGAGGTGTCAAAAACTCAAGTACATTCATTACTGAAGGAAGCGTATCTGTCATTGGAGAATGAACCACTCCCACTTGCTCAGTATTCTCTTGAGGTTTCTCAGGTTTTTTAAAAGGTTCTTGAGGTGCTAGGAAGAAAGATTCAGCTGGAGAGGTATTAGCAGTGACATAAGCTGATGAATATTCATGAGGTATTTCAGGAGCCAAGTAATAACTAGAAGATGAACTAACAGAACTATCGTCTTGTAGGTTGGGTGGGTGGGTGGAGTCAGGTATTTGTAAAGGTGAGATATTACGAGAGCATGGATAAAGATTCAACTCACTGAATTGCATCTCAAGGTCAGGGGCTTGGTCTATTAGGCCACTGTCTCCAGGAGATAATGATGAAAATAATGCTGGAGTTGTTAACAAGGCGGACGGAGTCGTTAATAAGGTGGGCGGAATTGTTAATAAGGTAGATGGGGTTGTTAATAAGGTGGGCGGAGTTGTTAATAAGGTAGATGGGGCCGTTACTAAAGGAGGTGGAGTGATTAATGAAGGAGGTTGAGTAATGGGAGGAGACTGTGTATTGGGTACTATTACTGGAGAAGAATACGACTTTATTAATGGTGGGTATAACCTATGATGAGCTGCTATGTGTGGTAGTCGGTGTGGCTTATTAGCTGCTCCAGCAGGTGGAGTTGTGGGTGACATTGGTGATTGTAATAATGGTTGAATGGTTGGTGACATTGGTCCCAGTGGTGATACACTGGTCAATGAATGGTCTACTGGTAATAC